CTCAGAGCCCCTTAGGACCCCACGGGAAGACAGACATTCTTCTTGGGTCCACCTCCAGCTATGCTGCCTCCTTTCACATCACACATTTGTCACTTGATTATTGTCTCCTCCATTTGCTTTCTCAGTGGGTACAACTACTAAGAAGCCACTCCTGTTCTATAGAAGTTGGTTCTACCACAGTACTGTGTATGCCTTGGAAAGCCTCTGGGATCCCTGTCCTCTGAGCCCACTGTAGGAATCCCTCCTGAATTCCATTTTGCATAACTTGGTTCTATTATTGAAGCCAGCTCAAAATTCCCACCTGCCAAAAAGTGGAAGAGAATAAACTAAGGATGGCATGGCCATCTTGGATTTGTCTTCATAAGAAAGGGTTTCTTTTTCTTTGTTCACATTCCTTGTGCTTTAGCTCTGGAAGTGCATAGCTGCAAGACACATTTGAGATCACTTGATTCAGCCCTTTCATTCTATAGTCAGTGTAGATGAATGGCTAAGAAAAAAGGGCCTGTTGTCATTAATAACTGGGTTTGAATCTTGGTCCCACAACGTTGAAGTTGCCTGACCCTGGGCACATAACTTAACCTCCTTGAGCAGCTGTAATAATGATTCTCTTTTCATTGGGTCGTAACCATATTTAAAGAAGATGATCCATATGATGTGCTTAGAACAGAGCCTGCCATATAAATATTATTTTTTTTTAATTTATTTATTCATGAGAGACAGAGAGAGAGAGAGAGGCAGAGGGAGAAGCAGGCTCCCAAGGAGCAGGGAGCCCGATGTGGGACTCGATCCCAGGACCCTGGGATCATGACCTGAGCCGAAGGCAGACGCTTAACCATCTGAGCCACCCAGGTGCCCCTAAATATTATTTTTTTATTATTGCTATAAATGAAGAACTTGAGGCATGGACATATTTCTTAGTCTTACTGGAAACTAGATAATGGGAACTATTTTGTAACTTTTCATGTTAGTTAAGTGCTTCTTGAACTTTTCACCAAAGCATCCCTAATATCAGAGAAGAGTAGAAACATAAACCCAAGGAATCTCGGGGCTTAGCTCCATCCCATAAGAGTTAAACGTCTTGGACTTCTGCGTTATCTGAAACAATGCATGCAAATTCTGCCTTTTATTTCTTAATGTGTCTGTGCTTGTTCCAATCCAGAAATTGTGGTTTCCCCCTCAAACTCTTTATCTCTGTAAAATCAACTCTCCTAAACGTAAGTGATGCTTACTCACTGGATGGTGAGCATGTCTAAGAAGTGCGTCGCTCCAGTCTGAGGGACATGAAATTAGTCACGGGGCATCTTAAACAGCAGTGACTGCTCCGAGAAGGATGGGACTTGAGATCTCGTGTGAGAGCAGGAGGGAGGAAGTCACACAGAAGCAGCGCCTCCTCCCCGGGAAGGGGTGAGGCCAGCTGTGTGAGATGATAACTTCATCCCTGAAAGCTGGCAGCTTTTTGTTCTCGGCAGACCCAGAGGCCCCTCTGTGGGACTCTCTGGGCTCCAGACTGGGGGATCTGGTCCCGCCATGCCCCGGGGAGGCCGCAGTCTGAAAGATGTAGCGTGCCTTGGTGCCTCGAGGCAGATTGTGTGCTGAAATGGAGGCGAGACAGACTGTCAGCGTGGAAACCATGTGGTGACAGCTTCCTTCACCCTCCAGACCTGTCAGCTCACGGGGGAACTGACAGGCCTCAACTAATAAGGTAAACAAAGGCTTTAGAGCATGGGGGAGGAATGCTGGAATTCCTTCTTTAATGTTTCCCTATTCATAACATGTCACAGAGTTAACGCCCGGCCCCGTGGAGGTAGCACTTCCTGGTTTTTAAGATCTCCCAAGCGTGGTGAGAGAGAGGCCGGAAGCACCGAGGCCGAGCTTATAGCCAGAGCAGCTTTGTCATAGCTGGCTCGACATCTGGCTGCTTCTTTAGGAAGTCCATGGCTCCCGAGGTTGCGTGTGTGAGGGTAAATCCAGACACTAGGCTGGTGGTCGAGGCCTGGTCACGGCCGTGGCCCAGCTTTGTCTCCCTCTGCTCCAGTGTTCCCAACACTCACCTTTCTCATCCCCGAAGTGCAGCTCCAGTCATCTCTGTCGATCTGGACAACTTCCAGGAAAAGCCACCTCAGCTTTGCCTCCTCAGAGGTCTCGCCGGTGTGCACGCTCCCAATTGACTCTAGAAAAGCCTCCTGCTTTTTTGGATCAAATCCCATCCTACCTTGAATGTTTCTGTGTCCTGGGCCTCTTTCCTATCCACCTACCCGCACTCCCACTTGCAAGGCAGACCCCCTTTGCAGGGCTAGAATGGCAGTAATACAGTATTTCTGTGCCATTACTTAAAAAGACAAATGGCCTGTTAGCCTTTTAGGATGTAATTTAAAAGCCATTTTTCTAGTGGTAATAACTGGAAATGGACTTCCGCTAAAGGCCAGTATGACTTCCTTCCAGGAGCAAGGGATCTGCTAATGGTGACCAGTTGGCCACGGCTGTTTTCAGATTTACCCACTATTTCCACTGGAAGGCTCAGAGAGCAGGGGAATGGCATTTTGAGGGGACCGTGAGCTCACAGAGGGCTTTGAAGAAAGGCAGGCGCCTTTTTCTGGAACCATACAGCTGCTGTTGTTTGTCTTATGGACTGAGAGGACCAGGAATAAAAATGGGCTTAGAGGGATGGGGATCATGGTGTTTTTAACAACCAAATCTCACCAATCAGAACTCTCGAAATCTGGAAAGGTTGGGGTTCCTCTTTGCCCTCTGTTTAAGAATCTGCAGGCAAATTTGAGTTATCTGGCTTTGGTGCCCCTCAGAAGTGACATTTCTCAGACAACTGTGGCTTTTTCCTGTAGACAGCGAAGCTTTTATTTTAACCATTCAGGATAGACAGTCTTCAAGAATATATTACCTGTGCTTCTTCAATAGAATTGTTGCAGAGACATTAAGTGTTCGTTGATGATGCAGGGCCATTATTTTGAATGTCAGTTTTAAAGACTTTGTCTTCCCTTTGCTATTTTTTTGTTCATTATATGCTATTTTACAATTCCATCACCTCATCTATCTTGGTATTTAATATACATTTACTTCTTATTCAGTGAGAAAAAAAGTGATGGAAAAATCCCAAATGGTAAAATACATGATGATGTGTTCACTGAATGAGTTCCTCTGTGACCTTTGAAAAGGATGTAGAAAACCATTGATACAGACATTGGAATATTGAAAAGAAGTCTGTGGTATGTCATTAAGTGTAACAGTGGGCTGCTAACCACTATGTACATTAGGATGGCCCCTATGCCTAGGGAATCCTGGTGAGCTCGGACTCTAGACTGTCCAGATCTACAAACGAGGACACCAAACTGCTTAGCCTCGGATGGAAGTTCTGTGCATTCAGGTAAAGGATTGCAGATAAAGGAAGCAACGTTTACGCATCACCTACCATGTGCCAGATGCTATTTTAGGAGCTTTCACATATCGTCTTTATTAATCCTGATAATCACACTCTGAGGTTATCTTGCTCCATAGCTGAGGAGGCTAAAGGGAAGAAGTTGTGTAGGGGGCTCAGGTTCACACAGATGAAAAACAGTGGAGGTAGGAGTGGAACATAAATACAATGGACTCCGAAGCCCCTGTCCTTTTTACTATACATTCCCAGTTATCTGTTGCCTCAGGAACACTCCATGGTACGTGATGAACAACCACAAAACCTAAACAGCATACAACAATAAGTACATATTACTCACCCCTCTGAGGTCCACTGGGAGTCGGCCAGGCGCCTCTGTTGTTCACGCACATGTCTGGTGGTTGACGGGCCTCTGGTTGATCTAGGCTGGTCTGGTCCCGGGCACCTGGGAGGCTCGGTTCTGCTCCATGTGCCTCTCTGCCTTCGGCAAGCTAGCTTGGGCATGTTCTTGCCACAGTGACACAGGTGGAAGAGAGCAAGAGGAATCCCACAGGCCCCTGCAGCCAGGCTGGGAGGGGAACACAGTCGTTGCTATCGGCTGAACGAAGGCGCGTGGGCAGACTCAGAGTCAAGGAAGGGGAAATCGACTCCACTCCTCTTACGGAAGGGACTACAAAATTATGTGGCAAAGGGAAAGGTGCAGAAGTGGGGGCCCCCACAGCAATTAGCCACGTAGAACAAGCTGCCTTTGAACACCAAGCAGGTGTTCTAAGAGCTTCGTCTGGGCATCCCACCTCACCTTCTTGAGGTTTTGGTGAAGTATGTGTGTGGGTGGAGTGGGGACAGCAAATTTGGGGGGTGAAGAAGGGAGGCAGATCTATGTTTAACCAAAATAATGTCATTCCATAGTATGTTAGTGACTATAATGAGGGAAAACGTGTTCCATCCTTGTGTTCTATCATTCCAGGCTCTTTTGTAACACAGGGGTACACCCTGGGACTCTTAAGGAAGGAGGGCATTTTTGTTGTTGTGTGTTACTTCCGTCCCTACATTCAGCGGACACAGATTCATGACCCGGAAAGAAAACAGACAGAGAAACTGTTTCCGTAGCACGTCTTTGGCTGTCAGTGGGTCATGTGTTACTGCTGTGTTTCTTGCTGCCAGGCTCTGCCTCTCAGACACCACATCGGGGCCAGAGGCTAGAGGACATGTGTCTGGTGAAGGGTGCAGTGCATGAGCTTTGTGACAGTTATCTGCTCCTGAGACATTCTTTCCACTTCACAATGGGTATCATGGTCGTTCCCATGGTCGTGCTTAGGGGTCTGCCTAGTCTTTCCTTCAGGTAACTGCTGTCGTATAAATAAAATTGCAAGTGGAAAAGTAGCTCAATTAAAAGAGCAGTTGTCCCATGCTTTAGGAACGTGTACAATCAACCATGTGAATTCTCTCTGTTTTTCTCTATTTGGTAAGTGGGACCCCAACGTTTCTACTTGTCAGTCTTTGTTAACCTCATTCAAGGCCCTCTTAGGACATAAAATATCAAAGCAACATTTAGGAAAGAAAGAAATCTGTAACTTAGACTTTTCACAGAAGGGGTTGATGTTTCTAACAGGGGTTTCAGTGCTTTGCTGCGTCACCCTCAGCTGAGTGATGGCTGAGCATGCTGTCTGCTGCCGCTTCTGGCTCCCCACCGGCCTGCTCGCCCAGGAGCTCCATTTGGCCAGAACTGAAAGAAGAGGACACCGGTCCCGTTCCCTCTGTTTGCCACCTGGGCGGCTGGAGGACTGGACCTTGGACCTGGTTCCTGTCCCCGCTCCCTTCTTGGGGACCTACTTCCATTGACTTCTGACATGGACCCTGCTGCTGTCTGGTAAGTCCCAGCCCCCCCAGCCTGCTAGGAGTCGTGGCGGGGAGGGGGGAGGGGCTGTAAGAAACTGTACCAGACAATAGACTCTTACTTTCCTCCAGTGGCTTATCAAAAATGATTGTAGCTGCTTCGGCAGGACTAGAAGTGACCCATTGTCCCCTCTTCCAGCGATCTCTGTATCTTACACGAGCTCAGTGCTTACTGTTCTGGGATTCACAACCCCCTGCTTGTGTGACATTGTGTGAACTAGTGCTCTTTGGAACTTTGTGTTCATTTACATAACGCATTCCTCAGGTGCATATACGTTATGCATGAGTCTGTGTTGTTAATCACTTGAAATTTAATTGGAACGTGACAGTTTTTCCTTCCTCTTCAGTTTTCCCTCTCTCTCTCCCTCTCGAGCTCATGCAACACTTGGAAGAATTCCAGTCTCTTCCTGGCACTGTGGGCTTCCTGACTTTTTCCTTTATGGGGAGGATGCTCAGAAGCCCAGGTGGAATGGGCCTCTTGCCCGAGATGACTCCATGGGCCAGTATGGGATCTGTGAGGGAGCCCCAGGCTTCCCTGCCCCACCAGCCCTTCCTCTCTCCTCCTCCTCCTTTCCCCAGGCTTGGAGGCCTGCCTCTGTGAGGAAGGCTAAGGGACGAGCTGGCCAGGCTATCCCTAACTCGCTCTGTGCTTGGGCTTCTGAGAGCCTCTCCCACAATTCCATTAGGCAAGGGCTCTGTATTGATTACTGTGCCATGATGATTTCCCTTTGCCAATTAGAATTCTTGAGAGCAGACAGGATTCTTTCTGGTTCACAAGAAGGTGTGAGCTGAAGGACTGCAGAGGCCGGAACTCTCTTTCCCACTGGGTCTCCCCCTGCGGGAATTTGGTTCTCTCCCCGCCCGCTCCATCCTGCTCCCCACACGTTCTGACCCGAGCAGAAGGCAAGTTCAGTTCCCACAGGTGCACAGATCTCACTCTCTGAAACGAGGGAGAAGAGAAAAGGGATGAGAGCTGATATCCCTGCTCCCGAAAACAGGAAGCAGGCTGGGTAGATTGACTTGATACGGAGCTATCAGACTGCCGCTTGCTCACACTGGGACGTTTATCACTGCCAGTCATCAGCACTCTGGCAAGCTCATGAATAATGCATTTCCCAGTGATTTCCTTCCTTATTTGCTAGCTCGAGGCAATATTGATTAAAAAAAAAAAGTCTGCATAGCTGAGCTGTGTTGCGGTAACGTTTATTTAAAATGATTGGGAGACAGAACACACGTGTTTCTCTCTACATATGTGTGTTGGTGTCTGTTGTTTGTGGATAATGACATTTGTTTAAGGGGCCACGGTGGTTATTAGCAGTGTTTTTCAAATCAAAGGTTGGTTCACATTGGAGCCCTGAGTTAGGTTGAAACAGCTGTGTGGTGGTGAAGGACCAGGAAGACAGACAGGGTGCCCTGGGAGGAGGGTGGGTGGGAGCGGCGGGGAGAAGACCGGGGCAGTGAGGAGGGAGGGTAGGCTGGGGGGAAGAGGGCAGACAGGGAGGAGAGAGGTGGACGAGGTGGGGGGTTAGGAGGGATGGATGGAGGAGGAGGGTGGATAGAGGAGGTGGGGGTGGGGGGTGCACAGAGAGGAGTTACAAGCAGGGAAACTGAGCCACTGAGTTAGCAGTAAGGTCTCTTGTTAGTCAGTAGATAGAGCTCTCTCTCTCGTCTCTCTTTCTGTCTCTCTCTCTGCCATGGATGCAAAGCCCCCTGGCTGCACTAGTCTCCATATCCGATGAGCAAATGTGACGGTGACACAGTCCAGGAGGGGCTGGGTCATCAGAAGTCTCCATGGGTGGCTCTGCCCTGTGCTGCGTCGTGGCCATCCTCCCCTGCTGAAGGCTCCTGACTCTGTTGACTTCATTTCCGATTCTCGGGAGCTGAGAGAAGTGGGCACATACATGGAATTACTGTGCCGATGGCAGGTCTGATGCCCCCAGCCCCGCTCAGCCACCTTCCGCCTCAGGCGGGCCAGAAGCGCGCTTGCCATCTGACAGGTTGTGTGGCCTCCCACTCAATCTTACTGTCACACAAGCTCTCGGGGAGTCCAAGAAGAGAGCCCCCTTCTGGGAAATCGAATTCTCCTCCCAGGTCAGTCACTGGGTCCACTTAGCCTTCCCCTCACCATGCTGGTCTTCCCTCTAAAGCTCGAGAGCAAGTTCAGCAAGTGCTGGGCGGCTGCGTGGTACTGCAAGCCCCTCTCACAGGGGCCGGTGGTGGCGACGGCGGCGGCCCCTTCAGTGGTCCTTCCTCACACCTTCTGTCCCAGGCTCTCAAGGCTCCAGTCCTCATCTCCTGGGGCAGACTGTGCTGAGGTGGAGAAGCCGGTCACTGAAGTTCTGGAGAGACCCCGAGCAGTCATGGCAGTTCAGAGGGTGGAGGGCACTGGAGAGCTGACCCGGCAAGCTCCAGTCTCTCCCACCCACTGGCTCAACACTCCTGCCAGCTAATAGTCAGGACCCCGAACTCTCATCTGTGTGGCTCCCTACTGCTTTGACAGTATTTTCACATATAGCATATCATGTGAGCTGCCCCCAAAGCCTAGAAGGTTCCCCCAAATCCTTCATTCACTTATCTTACTAGCAATAACTTAAGCTTTTTCATCTTCCCTTCTACCCCAAACTTGCAAAGAAAAGAAGGCTCCATACACACTGTTCCCACTTCTTGACTTAGAACCCTCCTCCCACATTGCCTGGAGATGCCTTCTTTAAGATGACCACTCATGTTCAGATCTAAACCTAGGGCCTTTTCTGAGTCCTTACTGGCTCTGCTGCAGTTTTCCTGGTACCAGCTTCCAATTCCCCTCCACCTCCTCCCAGTACACCCCCACCCCACCCTCACCATGTCACAAACAGATAACATGGTTGATCCGAAGGAAGGTGTCTGCAATGATGTCATTCCAGGTATCAGATGCAGACAATATATTGGGTCAGACAGCCATGTTAGTGGTTCTCTCAGATCTTTCCATTTGCACAACCACCAACTTGTTCCACAGACAGAGGTGGCCCTAGGTCCCTCTTGCTGAGAACAGACATTGGGAAGTCACCCAACAGTAAATCTCAGCCACTTCCATTTCTTCGGCCCCCAGGAGTTCGTGGAGGCCTCTGTGCTCCGAGCCTCAGACTTCCAGTTCCCCCATTTGCTGAGTAGCAAATGGAACTGAGAGTTGGCATACCCTCCCCCTCCTGCCACCTTGTTGAGTCGAAAACTTGAAGCTGGAACCCCTGTCGGGCTTAGGTCTCTGCCGTTGGCCCCCTAAAAGGAAGAGGCTAGAAAGAAAGGCCCGTTTCCTCTGCAGGGTGTGGAAAGCTATAGCATGTAGCAGACGACGCTCGTTTATTTGAAATTGTTCCATGGTGCAGAGCCCTCTAATCGATCATTCTTTTGCAAATGTCAATGGGAGAAATGTGAGTTCCGTATTTATAAAGCCAGAAAAATGGGGGCTTGTCCCCCACCTCCCAGGTGTATATTTATGCACTGATGAATGACCCCAAAGTGGGTTTGTTATAGAAAAAGTCCATGCCAAAGGCAGGAACCTTGCATCTGGAAACACAGTCTGACAATTAGGCCTCTGAGCCCAGAGGCGGGTGCTCTGTGTTTCCTGAGTGTGACTATCACATCCTTAAGGCTGGGGTGAACCCAAGAGTTTTGGAATTTGGATCCTCGTTGTCTCCACAGTCCTGTCCTCTGAGGTTGCTTTTTGTTCTGTTTTGATTTTTGTTTGTTTTTGGCTCTGAAGATGGAGTTTTAAGAATCTTGGAAGCCAATAAAAATCAGTGAAGGAGAACAAAACGTATTCCAGTCTTGTCCTGAGAGGAGAGTCATGAGGAATAAGGAGTTAGTGTTCAAAAGACCCTTTGAAGCAGTTAGATGGGGAGTTCGTCACAGACTTGGGGCGTCCTGGTTGGGTGGGCATTTCCCAGGAGCCCCGACTTTCCCCAGCTCCACCATGGGGAACACACATGCCTGTGCCAAAGAGTGACCCCTGACCCCGACTCCTTTGGCCTCCCTCTCTCCCCTCCAAACCAGCCTCTCCTTTCCTGCCCTCCAAACAATGGCGCACTTTGTTTTAAAAAGGACGGTGAAATAGGAATCACACTTTCCAAGTAACATTTCAAAAAAGGGACAGGAGTGAAAAATTAGGACTGGCCAAGCCAGTGGTGTGTCCTGCTTTCGAAAGGGCATCCCCGGGTGAGGTCCAGGCCGAGTAACGTCTGGTGAACTGGTGCCTTGTGTTTCGTGAGCTGTGGAAAAAAACCAGCTGCTGTGAAAGGGTTAAAAATTAGCTCTCATGGTCAAGAGCCCCAAGCAACAGGCACGTTCAGTTTCAGCCAGGAAGAAAGACAAGTGTTTGGTTAGTAACTGGATATGGCTGGTGCTGGGTTTTGGTCTGCAGTCCCTCGGCAGGTTGAGAGTTGGGGATGGCCCAGTTCTTGCGGTTATTTGGAGTGGGACGGAGGCAGGCAGCCCGGAAGGCAGCGCCTGGGAGGTGCTACCCGCCCCTCCTTTACACAGAAGGGGACGAAGGCCCAGGGAGGGCTGGGGACTTGACCTGGGTCATCCTAGTGAGCGGCACCACAGAGGTAAGAGGGGCAAAGGGTCGCCTTCCAGTTCCAGAGCCCTTTCTGGAAAGCACTGGCTTGCATGGAATGTGGATTCAGGCAGACGGGGATTTAGGGTTGTTTCAGCCTCTCCTTGGCTGGGCTCCCTCCTGTTCATCCAGATCCCTCATCTGTGAAATGGGGTTCAAAAAATAGCTCTTTGGCTGGGTTTTTGGTATTAAATGAGATGGTACATATGAGACCAGAGACCAACACACTCAAAAAGTACTCTTTCTCAGACTGCCAGGACTCCTGCCAGGCGTGGGCCTGGTCACAATCAGTACGGATGCAAATAAAGCCTCCAAAAACCAAACACCCCCTTGGACGTCCTATCGACTCCCCGGCCCCTTAGTGGGGGAACTCCACATCAAAGGCAAATGGGATGGGGGAGAATAAAAGAGCCTTTTCTGAGCAAAGGGGAACTCGCCCCAGAGAAGCACTGAGTTAACGGGGCCCAAAGCGGGTCTGTGAAGTTAGAGAGGCCTGGAGATTAGAAGGCCAAGAGGAAATAATGCTTTTCTTGTCTTGGCTGCTGGGGCTGCGGGGGTTGCGGGGGGCGTGACAGCTGGAGGGCATTTGCGCCTGTTAGAGGCACACTCCCATCAGACAGAAGGAAATCCTGCCCCGGGCTGGCAGGGCCAGAGTGGCGGTCTGGGGCTCTCGGGGAATCTGAGCTGGTGCTGCCAAGGCTCCAGGCCCCGCATCCGCCCCCCACACCTCCCCCCCCCACCGCCTGCCCATGGCTGCCTGAGCAGGGGCCTCCCTCCCCAGCCACTGGCCCCTAAAGAGGCCCTCCCCCTTCCCAGGAGGTGTCAGCTCCAGTGATGCTATGGACAGAAAACTCTGAGGACGCCTGTGGTTTATTTTGTATCCACTTCAAAATCCGTATGAACCCCCTTCCT